TTTGTACGTCTATGGGAAAAGTTTTTGTATGAAGGAACTTAATGTAATATTTTTCTCAATATTGTCAGTCAGATTTTTCTACTGTATCGTATTATCAGAAAGTGTTCTTACCGATTACGGATATTTCTTGTATGGTGATTTGCTTTTAAATAACTATTTGTTGTTTTGAACATTTAGGAAGGATATATATATCGATTTTCGTTGTGGTTTGTATGCATAGATATATACACACTATTCTTCCTTTATTGTCGTCGTTAAATTATTAATTTTATATTGATAAAGATACACATTGGAAGGCTTGGTTTATAAACATATCTGAGATAGAGATTCTTCAATCGAAAGCATCCAATCTTTTTAATTTTAAGAACTCTGGCTATACGGTTGGTAGTTGCGAAAGATAATGGCTGAATTAAATCCGTGTGAGTTTTAATATTTGTAAATCATAGTTAAATAGATTACATTTTGTAAAGGACACACATTGCGTAATTGCTCATTTTCATTTGTGGCATAATAGTCTTTGGTATTTAGTGTTTTTGCACACAAACGTAATTGGCTTCGAGTCTTGGGTGTTTCTTTTTTTTAATGTAGCAAATGCCATAATTTCTTTGTTTAAATTCTATTGGAATTTTTTTCCAATGTTTTTTGAGACCTCATTTTTTTTCCGGAATCAGTCTTTGTTTATTTTTTAAATTGCATACTTAGTAGAGAAATATGAAATATTTTCGATGTACGATTTGAAATCAATAATTGTAATTTAATTATAGTATTATTTGATTGGTATAAGTTCGTGTTCCAAAACGGCGTACATCGTGGAGAACTTGCCCAATGATCTTCGTCCAGCAACGTCTATGAAACGAAGAAAACGTCGAAAAAGTAAAGAAATTGTGTTTGGAAATCGTCGTGTGACTGAAAGAGAGATAGCTAGTGCGCTCACATATAAATGGAATCCGCTCATAGATTATTCAGATGTTTTTGGGCTGAACGTGTGTCCTGCGCTCGACTTGTTTCAAAATTGTTGAATTTTCTTTCAAAAGAGGCAAGCAAAACGGTCGCCAACGAAATGCCAAATGAGTGGATACGGAACATCAGCACATCATAACTGGTGACGAGATTGGGTCTATGAAAACGACGTGAAAGCGCCAGGCAATCATCTGAAATGGGCCAAATGAGCGACACCCAAAAACCGTCATAGTCGATCGAAGATCAAAGTTTATGCTCACTGTTTTCTTCGTAGAAGGTGTTGTGCACTAGGAATTCTTTCCACGAAGGTCAATCCGTTATGCTGAATATTATTTATACCGTTTTGAAGCGTTTGCGTTGAGAATATTTCGTCTCAAAAGGAAAGGATTTGTGGGTCAACAAGTCATGGTTTTCTACTCATGATATGCGCCAGCTATACGTCTCGTCTTGTACTACAACGTAAATATTGGTCCGCAGCAACGTATTCACCGACAATGGCACGTTGACTTCTTTCTTTTCCCTAAACTCAAATTGCCGCTTCGTGAAGCATTTTCAGTCATTGAAGTCCATAAAGAGAATTCGAAGAAGGAACTGAAGCCATACCTAAAGCGGCCTACCAGAAGTGTTATGAAGATTGGAGAAAAAGGTAGGGCATATGTGTATCGCCTCTAATGGTGACTATTTTGAAAGGGAACTAAAATAAATCTGAAGAATAATTACCGTTTTTGTTTTTTGAGGCAGTCTCGTTTATATGTGAGCAGAAGGTACATATATGTGACTTCTTATAGAATATATTATTAGCTCATTAATTATTTTTTAATTTGTTACAACTCTTTATTCTATAATTACATCGCCCAACTTAGGTTTTGTTATTTTTTTTAAAATATATCCTAAAAAAACAAAAATGGTTTTTCATAAAAATTGGTATATGATAATAATGCACATATGCATACGGCAAACACGTTTGGCCCTGTTCAGCTAGTTTGATTTATATTTTTAAACGCCAGGTCTAGACAGACACCAGCCATGATTTAGGGCATTAACACATTTTGTTTGAAACTCCAATTAATTTCATTAAAATATCCCATATTGACCGACATAAAACGGTTAAAAGTCAGATGAAATCATAATGAATGGAAATCACTGTAATAAGCGTCTATTGGGGCCAGTAAATGATATAGACTGATCTATTACATTTTGGCATAACTCAAAGTTATTCAGGAACATTTAGGAAGATAACAACAAACTGACCGTATAATTCGGTTGCCAAACTAACGAAAATCTTTATATGTAGTACATGGAGTAATTAGGTGAGCGACTTTACCAATTTATACGTTCACGTATCAAGTATCTTACAAATTGACCGCTACAATACGTACATATCCAACGGATATTTGAAAATCCTTAATTAGGTATAGGGGTCGAGGGTTTTATCGCGATTTTCATTATTAGGCAATATGAATTACTGTAATTAGAAAAATTCATTTCTGAATTTCATTATGATATTGGCGATATTTGCGGGTAAAAAAGTAGTAGGATTGCAAATATTATATTAGGTAACTCGTATTTGGGGGATAGGCGATAGTCTTGTCACACTCTTCGGCATGAAGACAATTGTTACGAAAAAACTGCGCTACTGAGTTTCTATATATGACCGATATATAATAAACATTGGTATAAAGTCAACCGGAATTTCGAAAATCCTTGGTAGGCCCCATTTTACCGCATTTGCGGTATCTGGAGTTTGATGAGTTATGGTCGCGATTTCATTCATTTTGAGTAATAGGGACTATTTATAATCAAATTTTTCTGCCGAAACTTGTTGATGGCTTGAATTTGTTTACTATAACATGACGCAAATATATAGATTTTAAAATAGTATTATATGAGAAGTAGTCGGTGGTTGTATTTCGATTTCGCCCATTTTCAGATGTAGAATGCATATCTAACGTGAGGTGAATAAAAACTATTATATTCTGTTGTTTAACATGTTGTGAGTGTTTAGGGAATTCATTAAAAACATATTCTTTTTAATGTGTAAGTTTTACGGCCTGCTCGGAGTATTGAGTTGATGGTTCTGTGCAAGTTCTAATTTCGAAATGGTAGAACATGATATAATTTCGTAGGCGCGAAAAAATTTAAATTTCAAATTTTTAAAATTTTTAATTATAACTTGCGATTAAACTTTTATTGTTTTGATATTTTTTTAACTAGATTTCCCGGGCATAACAAAATAAAAAAATTTTAAATGTAAATTCATTATTTTTAATGCATTTTTGGAACCTGCGTGGAACTTTTATTATTATCTACGTGCCTTTTTTAGCTGCAGAAATTGTTTATTCAAGTTTTTCGATTAAGTTTGGTTTGTTCTTGGAAGATTTTCCAATATACGGAGTTTAATAGCAAATAGACATAGAAAGTGAAGGAAATTTTATAACGTTCTGCTAAATTTTTTTCATTAGATAGCTATCGTTTATTTTTTTTTTGAGGTAGAGAACTTTAAGTTGGCATTACTGTTCAGTGATGGCAACTATTAACAACTGTCAAGTGATTTTTCTCAGAAAATAATGGAATCACTCGATGCGGCAATACGTATCGGCGCACTTAGTTCATTTTATCGTCGAGCGACTTTGGTTGAATGGCTAACGTCAAAAAAAAACTGCCGCATATGGATGAAGCTAATTCTCAAGGTGTATATCGAAAACACGTTTCATCAGAAGACTGACGTTTGGGGCGCTTATGGGCTGGTGGAATCATTGGTCCTATTCTTCAAACGATGCTGGCCAGAACGTTACAGTCATGGTGAGTATAGAGCCCTGATTACTAACTTTTTCATTCCTGAAATTGACAACCATGATGTCAGTAGCTGTGGTTCCACAAGACGGCCAACATGTCACCAGCTTGTGCACAATACGATTATTGAAAGACACATTTGGTGGACCGCCTAATTTCACGTTTTGGACTGTAATTGGGTCCTCAGATTTTGTGATTTAACCAACGCTAGACTATTCTGTGGAGGTTGATGTAAAGTCATTGGTCTATGCGCATAAGCCACAAACGATTACCATTGGAAGACACATTCGCCGGTGTTATGGCCCAAATTTGGAAAAGTCATCGAAATTGGATACATCCGAGCAGCCATGGCGGTCATATGCCAGAATCATATTTAAAATGTAATGCCTACAAGATTATTTTCGGATAAATAAAATTCACATCAATCGATAATCTGTTGTTTTATTGGAATTTAAATTCTATACCTCTAAAAAAAACCCCGGTCTATATATATGGCATGTCGCAACTGATAATAACATATTACATTTATCGCTTATACGCACCGATTCGTTTTTTACATTCTAGATGTTTATGTAAAGATAATATAATACTAATGTTTTCGGTAAACTTTGTGAATTTTGAAGACTAAATAACGGTTAGAAATCCGCAAGTAAACAAAAGCTTTCAAGCCCTAATGAACAAGAATGAAATTTCGTGAACGGGAATCGATTCAGAAAATTTGAGCTGCTGAGTCTAGCATATATTAACAGTTTTTTCATGGCTGCGTTGTTTTATTATCCTAACCGCATAAAGCTGTTGATATCTACGGTAAGTTTCTCATTTTCCTATTGTAGCATTGTAGAGTAGATTCTTTTCTACTAATATGTGAAGTCTTCAATTCCTCAAATCTTGCTTGCAATTCAATTGTAATGTTGACAAAATTTCTTTTTATGGATAGAAGATGATAGATATTAACATATAACCGATATCTCCGGGTGTACGAAAGCAACTGGAAGTTTTGAAAACTTTTTATTAGGTATATGGTATCGACACGATTTTATCTATTGTTGGCATTACCTATATATAATATTATTAATAAAAACGATGCTTCTGAGTTTTCCATTAAGGTATCTGCAAATACTGTCAACAATATATTATTAATCTTTATAAGGAGGTAGGACGGATTTTTGAAAATCCGATATTAGTTTAATATCTCTCTTCATTCGTAT